CAATAGACTATGATGTCCTAGAACATATTAATTGATAAACTATGACATCTTAGGACATAATAGTCTGAAGCAAGTAGTGTCCTAGGACATGATAATATATTAATATATTATCATGTCCTAGGACACTACTATTTGTATCTGACTGAAATAATTTAGAAGACAACGAACTAGAAATATTATAGTAAATTATATTATTGTATTAATGATGATTCTATACTCTAAACCTTGTATTTGAATAATTAATTTAAATGAAAGAATTTTATACTATAAGTCCTTCGTTAATCATCTACACACACAGGACAAAAGTATCTGGACACTATGCAAATTACTAAATTAATTAGGTAAAGTTAGATATAAGTAAACTTTTTTTTTTATTAATAAATGTAACTTCAGTTTTATAAGTAAAGTTGTTCATTATAATATATCACGTGATACATAAAATTTCAATTTAAGTAAAATTGGTCAAACTATAATAATTTAAAATTTATTTTAAAATAATATATTTTTTAATAAAAACTTTAGTTATAGTATAACATTAAAATGTTTGGTCTTAACGTAATTTTTATTACTAAGTAACTTTTTTTGTTATTATTTGAAATATATAATTATAAATTTTTTTATAAAATTTTATTAAATAGTTATGAAATAATATAAAAAAAACTGAAAAAATTTAAAGAAATTTTTAGCTATATTACAACATTATAATCTTTAGTAAAAACACATAAATTTTAACCATTCATTAGCTTATATTAATCTAAAAATAATACTAATATGTATAGGATATCTCTTACTTTTTATTACACCTTAATTCTACAAAGCATACTTTCAACTAACTTTAATAATCTTTCAGGTTCAATTTGGTACTATTCTTCTTTAAAAGCAGCTAAAAGTTCTGACTTATTTTTTGGTTTAAGACTATGCATCCTGACCTTTCTTCCAATACATCTTACAAATTCTCAATTGATTGAAGTTAGGGCTTTGTGCTGACCAAAGAAGTGATTGATGTACATTTTCTTCTTTTCAACCCTTTGTGAATCGTGCTGCACATGCTGGAGCATTATCATCTTGAAAAGTATGACTATTAGATCCAAGTTCATTAAGAAAAGGTAAAAGATAACATTTAAGTAATTCTACATACTTTTTAGCATTTAATTTTCCCTCAATTAGTACTAATAGTCCTACTTTAAAGTTGCAAAAACATCTCCAAACCATAACTCCTGACTTTTGAACTGTTGGAATTAAACAATCTTTTGCATATGCCTTATGAACCCTATGCCAAACCCATTGATTAGCATCATTTCTAAATAATTTAAAACGAGATTCATCACTAAAAATTATAAAATTCCATTCATCTTGCCAACTTTTTCTAATATGACACCAAAGTAAACGTTTATTTTATTTACATCAGAAACTAAAGGTTTTTTCCTACCAGTACGCCCATAATAACCCATAGAATGCAGTGCTTGCTTAACAGTTTTACTACTTAATGAAATATTAAGACCCTGGTTAAATTGTTCAGTAATTTCTTCCACGGCTTGTTTACGGTTTCGTCAGATTATTCTTCCTAGTTGACATTTATCTTGTTCTGATAAAGCTGGAGGCCTACCACTCCTAGGTGCAGTATCAGTGCAGTTTTCTTTATTGTATTTCGTAATTACATCATGGACAGTAGTTTGGTTTGCCAAGAATTTTCGAGATGTTTCTTATGCTATGTCCGCCCTTTGATAAACCTACGATTTCTCCACGCTCAAAAGGTGTAAGCTCCCATTTTTATGTAATGAAATAATTATTTATAAAAAAAATTTTTTTTATTTAAAAAGCGAAGCCGTGGGATTCTGGAAAAAAAAAAAAGAATAACGAATTTGGTTAGAAATTGGGCGTTCTATTGTTATTTAAAGATCGGCAATATACAGTTAAATTTGTGCAATATCGCAATTGTCCAGATACTTTTGTCCTGTGTGTGTATAATAATAATATTATAAAAATGCAATTCCCTTGTTATTTAAAATCCGGATTAAAAAATTTAATTCCTTATTTTTAATCCAAATTGTAATCCTTATCCTTAATTTTTAATCCGGATTAAAATCCGGATTAAGGATCGAAACCCTACTAACCTAAACCGTTCTTAATAAAAACAATTACGGATTTTTGAAATTAGAGAAATAAGCTACAAAATAATGTATATAATAAATAAATCAAAAATACTTTTATAGAGAAAAATATAATTGAAACCCGGTAAAATTTTTACTCGAGTGTTCGAAAACCCGTTTGTCGAATATCAAATTTGTCATATTTGAGGGGTTATATAGTAGTATATGATGAAGATTTTAAAAAAATTTATTCGAACATAATATTTTCGAATGTTTCTGTATTACTCTAATCAAATCCACTATATATTAAATACCAAGACCAATGTATTCTTTTAAATTTGACCTTTTTTATTTGTTAAAAACTTTATTGATATTCTTAAAATTTTATACAAAGTTATGGGACCATTAATAAATACTTTGATAACGAAATTAAAAAAATGGTTAGAGTGATGCTATTTAACACATTAATTGATTATTTGAATTATTCCCACCACTTTCTTATTATGAAAAATATATATGCCACGGTGATAAAAATTTTTTGCCGCAGGTGCTAAAAAACGGAATACAGTCAGAACTCGATATATCGAACCTGTTGGTTTGATGATTTTGATTCGTTATAATGAGGATTCGGAATAACGAGTTTTTCTTGATATATCGATTTAAATAATAAAAAAAAAATAAAAGTTCGTTATATCAAATTTTTACAATAAATGCAGTGAGTTATTATTTGTTTATTATTTATTATTTGCATGTTGTATGCTATATTATTTCTTACTTGTAAAATTTGAGAACAAAAAAAAATCTAATCGAAACTAATAAACTCATTTATATAATTGGGATTGAAGATTCTGATTGTTTATTTTTTTGAGACAAAGTTCTTGCTTTTGTCCCATAGACAATGTATTACTTTTTTTTTTTCAGAAGACATGGTAAAAGATGATCAATAAAAGAAATAAAATCTTCGAATTTATATTTATAATAATTTATTTAACATTTGATATTTACTAGAAAAAAATCCATTTTTTTTATAACGACCATCGGTATAACGAGAAAAAAATCGTTACCGGTTTATCGCGAATAAATAATTATAGCTGGTTTACAACCAGAGTTCGGTATATGCAATATCGCGAAATTTATAATAAAATCGCTATATAGTGATAAATTTTATTATAAGTGGTTTTGGTTTTAAGAATAAGTTCGTTATGGGCCAAAATCGGTTTATCGCGGATCGCTATATCGAGTTCTGACTGTACTTGCATATTTAACTATATAAAGCAAGCATAATTTGAGTTTAACGCCGCAGACCTTAGTCAGAACCAACTATAGAAAAATAGTCGTTACGCGTCATTCTACGCCATAAGTATTTGATTATTCGACATTAATTAGGACATACGTAATGACAATCCTGGCTTATGAAATCATGACACAAAATAACGCCATTAATCTTCCCACATATAATCCCCTCAAAAAAAAGTAATTCCTTGTTCAAATTTATCGTGTGTATATATATTTTTATACCTCTAAATTTCTTTCTCTTAGTCATAATGCGTGACAGAATTGCAAGAGCGGTTGAAGAATACATTGATAAACATCGAGATAAATTAGAAGAAATTGTTGACAATAATCTCGTAAAACTTAAAGCGATCATAATAGACGAACTTCCGGAAAAAATTATGGATTTTCTTAAAAAAAGAATTGATGATGGAGATGATGATCACGATACATTTCTTGAAAATATCCTAAAGACAATAACATCATTAACAGGAAAGTTATCCGATGATTTTAAAGAAGATGTTCGAGAGAATATAAGAAGAAATTTAGATGAAGCGACAATGGATTCTGCCGAAAAACTTACCGATGTTATCACTACCGAATCGAAAAGGGTGGTTTGGGATCTTGCCATTGATGATGATGATGATGATGATGATGATATTAAAAATTTTTTCAAGCAAATGAATTTTGGGTTCTTAAGAGAAGGTAAAGAAGGTATTATTAGTAAAGTTATGGAACTTATTAGACCTCCCGTACATCGTTCAGGAGAAGAAATTGATGAAAAAATTAGCGATAATGTACCTAAACACGTTAAGAAAAGTTTGCTTAGTAAAGTAGGAGGGAATTTATTCAGTTCAAAAAAAGATGCGGAATCTCAATCTCGAGGATTATTTTCAAAAAGTGATGATAAGGATGAGGAAGGAGGAAATAAATTTACTAAAGTCTTAAAATTATTTGATGGAAAGAATGGAAATTTTATTGATAGGATGTTCGCTAAATTACCGAAAAAATTATCGGAATTTCTCCGACCTTATCTAGAAAGTTTTGAAAGATCTTTATTGGAAAGTGTAGGAGAAGAATTTAGAAATAATATTTTCAGAGATGATAAATTTAAAAATGACGTTAAAAATATATTTGTCAAGATTGGTGATCCTGACGGTGATGGTAGAAATTTCTTCACTGAAGCTGCTGATGCTGTTAGCTCTATTTTCAAAAAGAAGAAGGATAGAGATGTATATTAGTTGTACAATTTATTTTGTTTTTTTTTTATGAGAAACATGTATTTTAAATTTATTTTTGATTATTTGGAATACACGGGTCATTCGCCATGGTATTTACAAATAAAGACATCAATCCAGATTATGAATTTTGCGAAAAAATATATTATATATTAATAAACCAACTGCAAAATATAAAATAATAGTTACTCGTTGAAAATTTTTGTTTATAATTAAGAAATTCACAAATTATTATACTAAATATTTTGAAAGTATTTTTATTTTAAAAAATCATATATCGTAAAATAAAATGTTATCTCATTATATTCCAATTAAATTAATTTTTTTTTTTTTAAAAAAAAAAAAAAGAAAAAAAGAGAAAAGAAATATATTTACACTAAATTACTAAATTACATGATGTTCAGGACCAATACATATATAAGGCAGGTTGATGAGTATTCGCTAATAATTGAAGAGGATCTTCATCTAACGATTCGTCTCTTCGATATTTCCATTCATCAGCATTTTGAATATCCAACTTATTTTGTTGCCTTCTTGAGGAATTTCCTTTAGTAATTGTCCTCATTTCCTTTTCTTTTAATTTACCATTTTTATCATAATCATCACTATCGTAGTTATCATCATTATCATCTTTATCATGAATCCAACTAAGTGTCCAGTCCCATACAGCAGAAAATAATGAAACCTTAGGACTCCAAGGAGGTAAGGGAGGTAAATTTGAGGTAGCCATTGAACCTCTATTTGATGGTGACGTTCGATCATCTTCAAAGGAAGGAAGACATCCTCTTGATTTCTTACTATTATACCTATGATTACTACTATCGATATTATTATTGGATGAGACCTCTGCTTCCTTGACTTCAGTAATTTCGTCATTTTCTTCAAGTAAACTTAATCTACTTTGCCTTCTAACTTGTTTTTGTTTATTTTTTGCATGAGCAGTAGATAAAAATATTTCACTAATATAAACACTCCATGCTAATCCAGTTCTTTTTAACCTTTCTTGATCACTATAATCCTTTTCAATTAACATGGAAACTAATGCTTTTGGTTGTCTAATATTTAATCTCTCGTTTAATACATCAAAACATTTTGTTAATCTTTCTTTTATTCTAAACTCTTGATCACTTGTTTCTTCTCTTTTATCATCATCATTAACTAATGAATCAAAATCAATCCATTCCATATTTAAATGATGAATTAAAGCTACCAACATAATCCCATCATTCATTCCAGTAAAATCTTCAATAGGGTAACAAGTTGAAGGTAATATTGAAGCGTAATCAATCAATTGCATATTAATCCAAAACAATAATCCCGATGATGAACTCATTGGTGATGGAGATGATGGATTTAAACGTAATGTTCTAAATCTGGCAGGGGAATTAGGATTAAACTTCTTTCCTTCCTTTTTACCGTCATAATAATTTGGAGGTAATGATAATCTATTATTACTATTTGATAAAATACGATCACGTATACTAGAATTTCGAGGAATCGGTTTAATAGTATCATTCTCCTTGATTGAATGATCATCGATTGATTGATCATTCGATAAATTACTCTCAGTTGATTCATTCTCAGTTGACGGAATCTCAATTGATTCATCCTCTTCATGAATTATTTCTTCGGGTTCTTCGTTAATAATAGAAGGTAAATCAAATATTTTTTCATCACTACCTGAATCTTTAACAAAATTTTTTCTAAATTGAGATCGAAATTCTTCAAAAGCGGCACTATTTATTTCTCTTTCACCATCTGAAGTTAATTCACTTTCTTTAACAACATCCTCTTTAAATCCTTCTTCAACTTGATTTAATTCCTCTTCAGTAACTTCAAATATATTACTAGTCATTTGAATAAATTTTGATATTATTAGCCAAATTAAACCCAAGGTTAATTTAATATTCCCATCAACGATATCAACGGATCCGATGGCTTTTAATGCTATCAATCCACCATCATCTAATTTTTTTTGTAAAAATTCCAATACTTTATTAACATTTTGTATATAATGAAGTCGAGTTTTACCACGTTCGAGTTTTGGCAAGTCTTTATCATCTTCATATAATATTTCAAGCAATTCTATCAACTTTTTTCCATCTCGAAAATCTTCGTCTATTGCTTTAATTTGTGGTATACTTTTTTTCGGTTTATCAAAAAGAAAAGATTTCGTTACCACAGGTGTTAATTCTGCTATCGCTTCTTCTAATGAACGTAATTGTATATTGACCCATTTTGTAAATTTAGCCTTTTGTACTTCGGTATATTTACCAGGCGTCTTCGAATAAAATTGTTCTTTTACGTTAACTTTGGAGGTTTTGTCCCATTGTTCTTGTAATGATTCTTTTAATGAATTTTTACGCCTCAGTGAAGATTTCTTAATCATTATAAATATATATTTAAACGTATATACTTTTTTTTTTTTTTTAAAAAAAAAAAAAAAAAAAAAAGGAGGAAATGATTTTTTATTTTCATTTAATAAAATTAAGCTTATTTATATGATAAAAAAACATTAGGGAACCATTTTTATTCAGAGTTACTTGATAAGGAAGGATACGTCATAATCGTTCTAAAATCGAAATTTCGAGATTTTTTTTTTTTAAAAAAAGAAAGAGCAAGCTTTGTAATTACTCGCGCATTTTAAACGCACATAATATACATATATAAAAAACAATGTCTTTCCTTCCATTTGGCGGTGGTGGCGGTTCTTCACAAGAAATAAATCAACAAAATGTTGCTATGGTAGAACAAGAGTATGAAGCCGTAACTGAAACATTTTATAGGTAATTCATATTATATAAAAACGGGAATAAGTCTTTTAAAAGGTTTTTTTTTAATAACAACTTTTTGCTTTTAAATAAAATTATCATTTAGAATTGTGGATTCTTGTTATAAAAAATGTATCCCTCCAAAATATATCGAAGGTGAATTAAATAAAGGTGAATCTGTTTGCATTGATAGATGCTTTTCTAAATACATTGAAGTTACAACGAAAATTGGTGAAGCTTTAGCTAAAAAAGGTCAAGAATCTGGAAAGGGGGGTTTTGGTGTTTAAAATCGACTTTTTTACTACCTATTTCAAAATACTAAAATGAGAAGTAGATGATAATAAAAAGTTGGTGTTTAAAATCGACTTTTTTACTACCTATTTCAAAATACTAAAATGAGAAGTAGATGATAATAAAAAGTTTTTATTCGAGAAAATTCAAATAACTAATTAATAATCGATTGAAACCAGTTTTTTTTTTTTTTAAATAATTTTAACGGATAGCATATCACCATCTTCCAAATCTGTATCTATTAATTTGTCATCAGGTAACAATACCTCATCTTCAAATAACAATTTAATAGCAACATTCCCCGAAATGTCTTTAATCTTTTTATACCGTTCGATAACAGCCTGTACTGTGAGAGACTTTAAAAAAGAAGGAAAATGATTTAATATTTTAATCAAGTAACTGCAACATATGAGACACTTGCCTTTTTGACCTTAAGTTTTTCAACGGTTTCATCTTGACATTGAACCTTGAGATAAATATAATTTTCTTCTTCATTTATTATAGTTCTTATTTCATCAATAGTTTCAATGTCTATCGTCTCTCGACTAGAGTTTACTGATGTATTATTATCGTTATCCATCAATTCATTATAAAGTCCATCGAACAATCGTTTCCTCTCAAATTTTTGCTGTTCTTTAAAATGCATGTATGATTCTTTATTAAAGGCCTCTAAATAGAAATTATTCCATCAAATTAAGTATAAAATTGCAACTTTGAGCATTAAAAATCAACATTACGGCCTACCCAAATGAACAAGTCCGGACATGCCCAAACTTGATGGGGTTCCGCGAGGAAAAACCTTAACATTCTTGTAAGTCAATACTAAGTCTGGTTTAGGAATTCCTCTTCTGGAACATAGATGGGAGATTAATTGCTCAAAAGTGTCCTCCTATAAATATAATAACCTTAGTAAAATGCTACAAGGTAAATGAAAAAATTTTCGTTGCGTTGTTATATTTACTGTATTTAGAATGAATTTTATAGGTTTTTCATAATCAGGTATAACCCCATCCTCGCCGGATATCGACGAGCAAAGATGATGTTTAGGCTTTACCAAAATTTCAACTTTGGTATCAACAGATTGAATTGAATTTCTTTTCTTCTGTTTGATAGATTGTTGGATAGCTAAGAGTTCAGGATCCAGCTCTATATCATCCTGTAATACGGAAGCTGCAATAGGTGAACCGATATCATTACCATCAGAACGTATCGTTCTTGAAAACTGTGAAAGAGCCGCACTATAATAATTATACTGTATATTAGGCTGAGAAAAAGAATTTTTACTTCGATTTTATATATATATACAGTCAAACCTCTCTAAATGCACACCCCTTGGGACCATAGAGTTCTGCATTTAAGAGAACATTTTAATACGATCCCTATATGCTTGGGACTGAATGAGAGCACGCATTTAGAGAGATTTGACTGCATTTAAAAAGGAAATCCATACTGTAAAGGAGCAAGAGTAGATTGGAGCAGATAATGACTAATCTCAGGTGGTGGTGTTAAAGAATCTTCCTGACTGTCGAATCTTATATTCTCATCTGGATTTATCCTGATTTTCTTACGTTCTTCCGCATCTCTAAAAGCGTATAATATCAAAAGAAGAAAGAATTTAAAATTCGGGTTAATAAAATATTATAAACTCTTGTTAGATGAAGAAAAACTTACGATATATAAATATGATCACTTTCTTCATCAAACATCGTAATCGGTTCATCAGAAGTTGTCCAGTCCGATAATTTTCCTTTTCCCTTTGACTTTGCTTTTCGTTTAGTTCCCTCTTCTTTCTCGGCCTCATTTGTATGAAGTTTAGGGTTATCCTCAAGTGTTCTCAAGATTTCCGATCTTCCTATTTTAAACAAAATGAATTCAATAAGTTGTATTACTCTCCATCATACTAAAGCGAAATTAAAGTTACAAACTTGATTTTTTGGAGGTCATTTTTCGTGAAAAGGTAGTATTTCGCGTAAAAAATATATCGTCGTCGTCATCATTATAAGCGTTTGGACGAATTTCCAGTGGTTCGACGGTTTCACTTGGACTTTGTGTTACTGAAGCGGAAGTATTGGTCGGTGAACCATTTGTTACTACGCGTCGAGGTTTTGGTAGAAACGTTCGCGGTTTGATTTTTATAGGCTGCCTCTTAGTGATTACTTCCTCATCAGAAGAATCAGAAACCATCTTTCAATTACAGTTCGCTTTTGTTATATAAGAATAAAAAGAAGTCCTTTTTCTTTTTTTTTTCAGTAAAATTCTTGCAATCCTTTGGGTTTTTATTGACACGAATGAATTCCCAGAATAGGCTAATTGTTACACATGTAGTATTCTCTCCTAATTAGGTATAGTTGTAGAATTCTAAGTCTCACAAAAGGATCACAAGACCAATATTTTATACCGCTTTCGTGTCATTTTACATTTTTCACATACTTATTTATCGCAAGTCAATTGAAATATGTTTGGATATTTATTTTATAGATTAGTTTAGTAAGTCTAACCATACACTCTCTTTTACACTGTAATTACTTCTGTCATTTAACTTTTTTTTTTTTTTAATATAATTATATTCATTAGTAATTTTGCTGGTTTCTTATACCCAGCCTATGCTTCCTTCAAGGCTATTAAAGATGATGACACAAAAAGTATTAAGCCGTGGTTGATATATTGGATTGTAATAGCTTTTTTTGCCGTTTGTGAAGGAATTGCGGATACTTTTATATTTTGGCAAGAATAAAATGTTTTTCTACTATAGAACTTTTGATTATCCAATATTTGTTCAATGTTGATTAATTGTTGATCAGACTTGTTAATTTGTTAAATTCTCATTATTTTAATTCTAGGTTTCCATTTTATTATGAGATCAAGATGCTTTTCATATTGTGGTTGATGCTTCCGCAAACACAGGGCGCCACCTATTTTTATTATACGTTTGTTGATCCGACGCTTACACGTCACGAAGAAGACATCGACTCGACCTTAGGAAGGGCACAGCAAAAAGCAATCAATAAAGGAGCCGAGTGGGGTAAATATGGATTCGTTGCATTAAAAAATGTAGCCGCTGATGGTCTCGTCAAGGTTATTATTACATGAACATTCAAGATTTCAGTTTTAAATTTTCTTTTTTTTCTCATGAAAACTTTGACCGGAACATTTCGTCTTTCTTAGGGGCTACAAGTAGTAATTCCGAATTATAATTACCAACAAGAAGATGGAAAAATATCGGTAGAAAAAATATTACCTCATGTTTTATCATATTTGTATGTCAATACTTCGGATGTAAATGCATCAGAAAATGTTAAAGAAGAGTAGAAAAATTGAAAAAAAAATAAATGGGTGGGGATTAAAATAACAATTGCTCTATTATTTAGTAATAAGAGATTTCATAGGAAGTTTAGTAATAGGTTAAACAAATTCTTTTAAATCATCTATTCTTTTGTTTGAATTTTTATTTTTTTTTTTTTTTGATCTAGGGTTTTGTTTCAAAATAAGACTTTTTGTTTTGTATATAACTTGGTATATAAATATTTTGTACAATTTAGAATAAATAAATTACATTCTGAGGGCTATATAATTTTGATAACTAGATCAAGAAATTTGTCAATGAATATCATTAACTTCTTGTGACCACCATCATTACCATCCATCTTCAATTAAAAAAATAAATTATTAAAAACAAATAGCCTAACTTAATTATTCTTTTCCTTTGACGCGTGAAGTGCGCCTTTAGTATGACGATGTTTGTCATTTACAAATCTTTCGTCATTGTGGGAATATCAATTTGGTAATAAAAACTTATGAATTAAATTATAAGATATAAGAAGTTACTTAATTTTCACAAAACAACTAAACTTTTTTTTATTTTCGAAGAATAACATATAGAAACAAGAATTCGTAAAACGCTATATCACGTGACTTTATCAACAAAAAGAGAGAAATTACGATTAAGAAATAACTAATCGAACGGGGAGGGTTAACTATTGCTATATCCGGTAAAGTAAATTCTATCGTGCTTATTATTATTAATTACGTCAAAAAGCATTCTTTAAACTAGATTTAACACATTTATTCACGTGAAACCTTTAATTCCGGCCTACATCCGACCGATATGGTATTTATTATTCACCATTGAAATTGTTTAATAATAATTAATAAATTCTCTGATTAATTCTAACTATTCATGATACTTAAATTTCTATTTATCAAAAGTAAATTTAATTAACTTTTTGTCATTTAATGTTCATTATTATTACCACTCAGGCCTGGTGTTTAACACTGCAACAGTAAAATAAAGCATTTTATTTATCAGATGGTGTAAGACTTTATGATCTCTCAAATATTGTGAATTCTACCATCATCACTACCACCACTATTACTTTTCCTTCTTCTTATTTATCATACAAAAAGTTACATTTATATATGAGTTTTAAATGCAAACCAGAAAAAATATTATAAAGGCAATAACAGTTTTTGCTTACTAAATATTTTCAATGCAAACCATCTGACATTGGAAGTAGCATTAATTTTAAGAGATTCAGCTTGCAAATTATACAAAATAAGTAAATTACAAAATGGTTATAGTAGTTGTAGTTGTCCATAAGGACTACCTATATTAATTCACATATAATTTTATTAAATACATTTATATAAGACTCTTGATTCTCTTATAAGATAACTTCACTAATGATAAAACTAAACTCTATTAAGATATCCTTGTCATTAACATTAGGGGTATTCAAAATCGGTTGATGCAAATTTTGATGCAAATTTCAAGAAATATGATTGGCTGAAATTTATATCAGATTTTGCATCAAATGCATCAGCAAAATAGCAGGTGTAGTTGATGCAAAATTTTTAACAGTTCAAGTAGCCAATTACAAAATGTTTACTTAACTAAATTTGTAAAATCCTTATTTTTAAAAATACGATTTCATAAAAATATGCATTGATTTTATTTAATTTCGCATACTAAAAAAATAACAATTGATTGGTTAATCACAAGTGCATCAAATTTTGCATCAACCAATTTTGAATACCCCTATTATCTTTGTTTATCAAATGTAAGATAAATGATCAATAATATTTGTTTAAAATTTATTTATTTATCCTTTATTTTTCTAATTAAAATAATAAAAACAGTTATTAAATTCAGAATAATATTAACTAAAAATTTAAACTGATATTACTTTATCTAGACTTTTATATAATTGTAAAGGTCAATCAGCATTGACTCAATTATTAAGCAAGTAAACAAACAGAAATAGAGTCTAAATATATATAGTTCTTCACTTATACTTTAAATTAATAATATTAATTAATAATACATATTATATAAATAATAATAAAATAAAAAGAAATAATAACAGAAAATACATAAAGCCAT